GAAAAAATAGAAGAAAAAAGTTGATGGGGCGAAACACCAATGTGCTCCACATGAAATGATCTTTAGTTTGATTACCCTTCAAATACAATTTGAGCCTATTTCATCCCCTTTTTTGGCATCTTAGTACACATTATGTTTCTTAAAAGTCTATTTTGATCAAATATAAATACTTGATTTGGATAATCATGAATTAAATTGGGACAAGTTTACCTTTGGATTATGTGAAGCTTTGATCAAAGTATCAACAAAAAAGAAAAAGAAATGAGAAATAAGAAAAGATGTACAAAAAAAAAAGGAAAAGAAACAAAGTAAAAGTAAAAAAAAAAAAAAAAGAAAAAAAAAAAAAAAAAAACAAAAGAGAAAAAAATAAAATTTAAATTGAAAACTCAAAAAGGTGATTTAAGTAAAAATGAAAACTTCATATGAAAGTCCCTAGAAGAAGGATGTGAATTAGCTCAAAAATTTAAGATATTAATGGAATGTGTTTTTGAAAGATGATCTTGAGTTTAAGTTCAAAATTATCTGAGCAATCATTATTTTGGATGTTAATGTCCTATTTGAATAAATCTCAGCATTTTATCTTTGTTTACCCTTGAGTTATTCTTGACCTTACCTTTTGTTCTTTCAACAATAAAAACCCATTCTTCTTGTCCTTTACTAAATGAACATTTTTTAAATGAACCAAAGAAATGTATAATGTCTGTCACTGATTTAAATGATGGCAAATAAATGAAAGACATTTTTCATAAAGAGTTTTTCATTTTTGAAAAACACAAGATGAGATGAATAAAAAAAGTATGAGAAAATGATTTATAATGGGGTAAACAAATGACTCAGTGATGAATTCAATAATAATTGGTTGACATGATCTACAAGTTATGACCAGAAGAGAAGAATGACATTGGTCAATTGATAGAATTTATTTTGAGATGTTGAGAAGCTAAGAAGGATTGGTGGAGTCTTGAGAACCTTGTTACCATAATAAAACCTCATGACATCTGCACTACATACATTGTGTTTACATCTGTATCCTAGATAGGGCATGCACTTGCATTACTCTATTATCACTCACCCGATCTTGGCTCAATCCAAATCATTTTCTATGACTCGAGGTTTCATTTCAGTTATTTATTTTCAACCTCAACTCAATCTTGGTCACTTTATTTTAGACTTGCGATTTAATCCCAATCACTCATTTTGATATCGACTCGATCCAGATCATTTTTTAGAACCGCTATGAAGCATAAAATCTTACAAATCTTTCTTTCTTGATAACCTAAAAATCTTTGTGAACCTTGCATCTTTGCAAATCTAGAACCTTTGTGAAACTTGAAATCTTGCGAATCTTGCACCTTTGCGAAACTTGGAATCTTAAGAATTTTTTTTCTTATGAACCTGAAAATCCTTGCGAACCTTGTATCTTTGTGAATCTAGAACCTTTGTGAACTTGAAATCTTACGATTTTTTCTTTCTTATGAATTTGAAAGTCTTTGTGAATCTTGCACCTTTGCAAAACTTGAAATCTTACGAATCTTTTTTTCTTGTGAATCTGAAAATCCTTGCAAACCTTGCACCTTTGTGAAACTTAAAATCTTACGAATCTTTCTTTCTTATGAATCTGAAAGTCCTTGCAAACCTTGCACCTTTTTAAAACTTAAAATCTTACGAATATTTTTTTCTTACGAATCTGAAAGTCTTTGCGAACCTTGCACCTTATGAAACTTAAAACTTGTGAATCTTTCTTTCTTGCAAATTTGAAAGTCCTTGCGAACCTTGCATCTTTTTAAATTTAGAAGCTTTACGAAACTTGAAATCTTACAAATCTTTCTTTCTTACAAATCTGAAAGTCTTTGCAAATCAGGAACCTTTGTAAATCTAAAACCTCTACGAAGTTTAAAATCTTACGAATCTTTCATTCTTGCAAATCTGAAAACCTTTGCAAAGATTGAATTTTTGTGATTTTGTTAAAATTGGGATGTTGGGATATTTCAACTTTTAGAACCTTACAATTTTTTTGAATGTCCAAATTATGAATCTTTGGATTTAGAGCAAAATTCACCCATGCCATCATTCTGGTCATTCATCTTTGACCTCAACTTGGTCATGGTCACTTTTAAACTCATGGCATAGTCTCGATCATCTGATCTTGACTTAGGTCAGATCACTTTCTTAACTCATGTCATCATCTTGGTCATTTATTTTTTACCTCGACTTAATCTTGGTCACCCGATCTTGGCTCAGTTCAAATCATTTTTTATGACTTGTGGTTTCATCCCGATCATTTATTTTTGACCTAAACTCAGTCTTGGTCTTTTCATTTTTTGATTCGTGGTTTCATCCCGATCACTTGTTTTGATCTTGGCTCAGTCCAATTCATTTTATTTCTTGTTTTATAGTTTAATCTTAATCATTTTGGCCTACTTTGATAACTTTTTTTAAACCTCGGATTTCAGGCCCAAATAAAATGGATGTCGTTTGTCTTTGTGTAATTCTTATTCCATAAAAAATGCACAAAGAGTGGCAGCTATAGACACTCTATTTTGTCTGGGTATATTTTTTTTGGAGTTTAACTTAGTTGAGAGATTTTTTGGATTTAATTCCAGAATCAATTAACATTTGATGTGGAGAGATGGTCGAGATTTAATTCTATAATCAATTTACATTAAAATGATAAGGAGAGATTTTTAGATTTGATTTCAAAATCAATTCTCATTAAAATAGAAATTAAACAAAATCATGAAGCATGAACTTCTATATAAACCTATGATTAAAGCATGGGAGAAAAAAAAAGATTATGCAAAAAAAACTCTTGATAAAAAAAGATTATGCAAAAAAAATCTTTAGAAAAAAAAAAAAGATTATGTAGAAACTTGGGAGAGAAAAAAAAAAGAAGTTTGTTTAGCAACCAAGAGTTTTTAGGTCATGGGTTTGATTTGTTTAGATTTTCTAAGATTGAGATTTGATGTTTTTGGGTTTGAATTTCTATAGGGTTTTGCATTCCAGGGATTTCTGGGTTTAGCTTTCTAGACAATTTATTAGGTTTTCAAAAATTCCTTATCAGTATTTGGGATTTATTCATTAATTTTTGGAAATCAGTTAGAGAGAAAACAGAAGAACAACTATTTTAGAAAGAGAGACATACTCAAATAATTATAAAGAAAAGCTGAGTGGTGTAGCTTTTATACTCTCCCAACATGACACTGTTTTGCATAGTCCAGGATCCGCGCATGACTTGTTGACCCGCGTTCTAACCTTGGTACCTACTCGACCCGATCGCAGGTTTTCCCTTCTTCCCTTTTTTATTTTATTTTTATTTTCTAATTTTATTTTATTTTATTTTTAAACCAATTTTTAATTTTTAATTTTCTATTTTATCTTTTTTTTTAAATGTTATTTCTTCCATTTTTATTTCTAAAAGTAAAAAGAAAAAAGGAAAAGTAATTCTAAAAAAAATCTTTTCAAATAAAAAATTTTTGTAAATAAAGTTTTCAAAATAATAAAAAATAATTAAAAAAATAATTTCAATAAAAAAAGGTCTTTCCAAATAAATAAAAATAATTTTTTATCCTCTAAACTATTGGATGATTACTTGGAAGTGGGCCTTACCAAACTATTGGGAGGTTTCATTAATTTTTTTTGAAATAAAATTAATAAATCCAACAAAGAAGCTTTTTCAAAATGGGACACTAGTCTCCATGAATACTCTTAAGATGAGAGAATTATCATAGATTACTACCAAACTATTGGGACAATTGTAAGGTTAATTTTCAATATTAAATTATTTATAAAATCATAAAAAATAGTCAAGGCTTTGATAATTTGAAATCAAACTAGTACCATCCTTTGATGGGGGTTATGGGGGTGCTACAACATTCCCCATGCGTAATCGACTCCTTAACCTAACATTTGTTTTGTAGATCAGATTCAATCAAGTAGTCAATTACACCTAGATAAAAAAAATTGATGGTGACTTCTTTTAATCTATGTTTGGTGATAAGTTTATGGATCTATACGTTATGATAGATTGAAAGAAGAAAAATTAAATATGTATGGTTGAGGGGCTCAAAAGTACTTTTAATAGCGCTAATTAAGTAATTCACTTTATGAGTAATTGTATCATAAAAGATTTTAATTTTTTGGTTGTAAAAGAAAAAAGGTGGTTGAATATAAAATTTTTCATAAACAAATCTAAATTCTTTTATAGGCACTTTATTTTATCTAAGGGTTTTTGAAATATTTTCGATTTTCAAATCTCGTCACTTATATTTGATCAATTTTCTTTTATTTTTTTTATGCCTTTTGTCTTAATTTTTTTCTTCCTCTAGTATTTATTTTACCTATTTTGCTTTTATTTACTTATTTATTATTTTTTTCAAGAATAGAAAAAATCAGAAAAACCAAAAAAATTTTAAGAAAAAGAAGAAAAATAAAAAGGGAGAATTTTTTTGGAACAAGAATTCTTTTAAACACTTAAACTTTTTTTCTTTTGATTTTTTGTTATTAGATAATAATTCAATAAATAAAATTTATTATTATATAATAAATAAATAACTTCTATTTTTAATTTTTTATTATATAACATTAATAAATAAATAAATATTATTATTATATAATAAATTAATAAATTTATTTTATTTTATTTTTTGTTATTAATTTTAAATTATTTATTAATTTTTATTCTAATACTATTAATGATCATTTTATTTTCTCGTTACAATTTATTTTATCATCACCATTTTTTTTTTGTATTCAAACCTATATATAATTATTAATTTTAATCTTATTGTTATAATAATTAATTTTATTACTTTTTTTAATTTTATCATTCATCTAAATAAACTCTGATCTTGTTGAGGAAGCCAATGAACTCTTTGTGACTAGAGAACCTTTTTGGTGCCATTTTGGTTGTCGAAGACTTGTCAATTAGTGATCGGCAGCCAAATTTCTCTTTCAAACGATGCACTGTAAGTGTACCTATGAAAATCATAAAAAAATCTTACAACTACAATATTTATTTTCTTTTCCTTAAATCACCACGAATTTGACGAAGTCTTTGACAACTACAATATTTATTTTCTTTTCCTTAAATCACCTTCCTTCCACAACATCTTTAATTTGTTTTATTTCTATAGTGTAGCAAACGAAATACAGTTATGGACAGATAATTAATTAATGAATACATAGATGATATATCTGCCAGCATAAATTCAGTTCCCACTCTTAATACGGAAGAGTGGGAATGCTTTGTTCATTTCTAAAGAAATTAGCAGGATCAACCCTAGTCTTAATATGGACCAATCTGTTGAAGTTACCCTTAAAATACTTGATCCCATAAACCCTTCCTTCCATGTAGCTTTCTCTTCCATTGTGGTTGACACCTAAGTCAATGTCTCTGTAATTCAGAAATGCCTCCCTTGGGTTCTTTGACACAAAACGAGACATGTATCCATGGAGCTTCCTTGTCAAACCTATGTAATGCTCTGCTGCTTCAGCCCCACCTTCATTCCAATTTGTTACGTATTGAATCTTCCACAAGTTTCCAGCTCTGTGTGGGAATGGAGTTGCTGTCGATGGAATTTCAGCCATTCTCCCACCGTAAGGATTGAATAGCATTTGTGGCACCCGTAGTTCAATCATTCTTTTCCAAAGCCACTCCAAACCAGCCTTTGGAATTGGTTCCTTCACGTAGTCTGATTTCCTCTTCAGAAAAACCAATGACGAAGGGGTTCGATCTAACAAAATATCCGTTTCTCTCTCGATGGGAATGTTGGTCCAGTAAAGGACCGATTGAACCCAGGTTGTTTCAATGCAATCCGATTGAGATAAACCCAGTGCAGGAAACCTCTCATTCATGATAGAAAGAAGTCTGTTAGAGTCTCCAAGGAACAAGGAAATGAATGCAGCCCGCACGGTCTTTTCACCACTTCTACTGCTATTTACTACATCCAAGATAAGTCTGACAAAGAGGTCTTCTGGAAGCTTATCTGCAACACGTTGCCACTGGTCAACAATATCCGTTGCATTTTCTTCCAGAGTTTTTTCAACCCGAAAGACAGTGACTGTTTCAGGAACACGAACCAACTTAATTTTGTATGCAAGAACGACACCAAAGCTTGCTGCTCCTCCTCCTCTAATGGCCCAGAAAATATCTTCACCCATGGATTTTCTATCATGAAATCTGCCATTAACATCAATAAAATATGCATCGACGATGTTATCTACAGAAAGGCCATATTTTCTCATCATATTACCATAGCCACCCCCACCAAAGTGACCACCGACGCCCACTGTGGGACAAACACCAGCTGGGAAGCCATGTATTTTGCTCTTCTCAGAGATTCTGTAGTAAACTTCACCAAGGGTTGCTCCAGTCTCAACCCATGCAGTCTCGTTTGCTACATCTACGTCAATGGATCGAAGATTGAACATGTCAAGGACAAAAAAAGGAACAGTAGCAACATATGATAAGCCCTCATAGTCATGGCCCCCACTTCGAATTTTCATTTGAATGTTATCCTTTTTGGCACAAACAATGGCAGCTTGGATATGGGACTGATGCAATGCAGTGAGAATAAGGAATGGTTTTGGGGTGGAGGTCTCATTAAATCGAAGATTTCGAATGGAGGATTGAAGAACAGAGGAATATGAGGGATTTTGAGGAGTGAAGATCGCTGCAGAGATGGGATGAGATGGATGAGAATTGTCTAAAAGACATTGAAGAAAGGTTTCCTGGAATGAATCCGAAGCAGATGTTTCCCGAAATGAAATAAAAAGAAGAACAGAAAGTAGAGTAACAACAGCAGGCCTTAAAATTCCCATGTTTAATTTCTTGAATTTATGCTAAGCGAAATGATTTAGAAGGAATTTATAGGAAAATTTTAGGCTCAACCTTGAATGCGTTACAGAACAAAAAAGAAAAGGTTAGTTTTGACTATCAAGCAAAGTCAGGACCGAACAATTTGACCAAGAAGATTTCAACATTTTGTAGGATTGATTATAATACAAACGTAATATAATTGGCCTTTGACATTCAGAATTTATGAATGTCAGCTGTGTTAGTATTGGCGTAAGCAGCCATTAAACTTGTTTTCTACATATATTTTTTATGATAAAAAATAGGATGCTGCTTTCATACACGTGCCTTCCAGATCTCCTTAAATATGTCATGCACACGTTCATCTCCATCACTTCCGCACCCTCCAACTCAAAGGGGTGAAAGTTAAATTTTAGATTTTTTTTAAAAATTTTTATCGAGCACAGTTTGAAGAAGGAATTGGATTTTAACTTTTGGAGTAAAAACATATATATATATATATATATATATGATCTTGTATGAATCCAATATTCAAGTATAAGTTAAAATTAAATAAAATGGTAATGAATTCTCTGACCCATTTAGCTCATGTTATTTTAATATCTAAAGATCATTTCCGCTACTTTTTAAGCTGTGAAGATTTTCATTATGTTATTTAATAGTGAAGTGATTAATGTGTTTTGAAATTTTAATAATTTTAAAATAAGTATAAAAATAAATTAAAATTAATTATAAATTTTGAGAAAATTTTAGTTATATATTAATTTCAAAGTGTATTAATCACTTTTGGATAAAGTAATAAAAATCTCCATTAGTAATGAAAAAAATCCTTTCCTTATTTTAATTTGCAAACTAAAAATATGTATGGTTTTGGCAAAGCGCATAGCATATATATGTGCAGTTGCATGCATCGGTTGGCATTCAAAGGTTGAAACATGAATCGAATCTTATCGGCCAAAAACCGTCAATTAAGGCTTGCTTTAATTAAGATGGCTCAAGTTGAGCCATTTATCCTCAAACTTAGCCCTTTTGTGGGTCACACTTCGATTTAAAGGAAATGCTTGTCAAACTATCAATTTAGGATGGCAAACTGTCTTTCCAATTACTAATAATCCCCTCATAAATAATTAGTAGATGCTGATAATTAGAACATAAAAATTGGGGGCAAAAAATACTTTTCGATTCTTAAAAAATATGAAAAGTTTCCACTATTTTATTTAGAGAAATTATTTGATAAATTGACAGTAGAGTTTTTTAAATTTACAAGTAATATTTAAATAATAATATATGTATTATTTTTTTAAAATTAAATTTTTTTTAAATATATAAAAGACATATATCATCATCTTAATCTTATTTGTAAAGTTAAAAAACTCAACTATCAGTATATTTTATTTAAGGGTGAATAATGTACTTTCATTTAAATTTATGATTGATATTTAATGATTTTAAATTAAATACAAAAATACATAAAAAAAAATTTGAACAAATATATTTCAACTATAAATTTAGATGAAAGTGTGTTACTCATCCTTAGATAAAGTAATGAAAACTTTTAAGTGGTGAAAAGGTCATTTCCCTTTAAACATTATTAACATATATAAGTTTTATTGTGTTAATCACTCATCCATTAAAAGATGATGGATCCTTCGCTTGATATGTCACCTTTAATGTTCAAAAATATTAAATTTGAAATTGGGTGATAAAAAAAATTAAGCAATGGAAAATGTAATTTAGCCTCATTTTTTTACTCATACATAGTAAATGTGGTATGAAAATATTTTTAGTTTAGTATAATAGGTCACTGATTTGAGACAAGAAGTTCAAATCTTAGTACATTTGGGGATTGATCTTTGTCTCAAGTACAATCCATTAAAGTCAATCTTTACCTTGTAAGCTCTAAGATTAAGTAATATTGTACATCTATGGTAACTAATGTATTTTTCTAAGGTGGGATGGATGTTGACCTTGTTGAAAGTGACGCCTTTTTTTCTTTTTTATCTACCTCTTGGCTCTTATACATATAATTAATGAGACCAATGAGCACATAAAAACTACATCATGAACCATAGGCAAGTGGATTCTTTGGACAACTCCCTATTTCTTTAAGGAAAAAAAATTAAAAAAAGAGCAATAAAAAGTGACCGTCCTTACTCAAGTAATGCAAGCAGAATATATATATATATATATATATATATATATATATATATATATATATGAAAAGGAATCGATTATATTAGTGTAAATTTTTTTTAATTTTATGTATTTTTTTAAATATTAATTTTAATAGATATAAAAGATAAAATTAAATTATTTTTTTTACTCTATTTTTCTTATCACTTAAATTTATTGAAATCAATGATTAAAAAAATAAAAAAATAATTTTTTTGTGTAATTTGATCCTGTTTTATATATATATATATATATATATATATAAAATAAAGATTCTTGGACTTTTGACTAGGAAATCTAATTCTTTTTTTTCCCTAGAAAATCTAATTGGTAAACACTTGCACCTAGTTATTTTATTACATGATTGAGGCATTTTCAAAAGCCATGAAGTCACTTTCTTCAAAGAAAAAAAAAAGTGAGTTCAATGCGAATAAAGTCTCTGGCTTCGTCATTATGTTTATTGTGTAAATAATTTATTGTTTGATTTGATATATTTATATATATATATATATATATATGAATTTTGAATTGGACAAAAAGCCTTTAGCTTAACATGTAGGTCCACGTGAAAAAATATATATATTTTTTGAGCTCGTTAAATTTTGGGTTGAAATTTATGCCATGTGAATATTTATGAAGCATTTGTACATTTTAATTACTTGTAATATAGTGGATTTGAAATTTTTTAAAAAAATTGTGTATTTAAAATTAATTTTTAAATATGATAAAAATATATAAAATATTATATAAAAATCATAAATAATTAGTGTTGATTACGATTTCATAAAAAATAAATAAATAAATAAAATAGCGTTGATTACCGGAGTACTCAATTCAAACAAGCAACTAGTGTGTCAACATCAAATGCACTCATCAAAATATACCAAAAACATTAAAAAATAAAGAATAATAATAATAAAACACTTTTATAAGAGAACGGTTGTTTTATCTCTTTGGTGACAGACAATATTTGGATAAGAGTTGCAGACTATGTACAATTGGTCAACATAAATCATGTGGTTACGCAAGTAAGTTGATATTATTAATCGGTCCATTTAATGATTACGTCAATGTCAATCACTCTTTTCTTATCATATTCCATGTTTTCGATATAATTATTTATTACATTAATAATTAGCTAAATTTGACAATCTTTTTGGCGATCATGTGGAATTCCGCAAGACTCGTCAAAATTAAAGATAAACATTACAAATTATATTTTAAGTTTACTCATAGTCTAAGCTTACTCATATTCTTTAAATGAAATATAAACATTTCAATACAAAATTGTTTTTTTTTCTTTTGTTTTATTTTGCCCACGCATCACAAAACTCTAATAATTTAATTGAAATGTATTCATGTTTAGTTTGTTATTGAATGCTAAAATTAATCTTTAAAATGTACAAAAATTTGTGAAAATAATTTCTAAATAATAAAAAATTATAGTTAAATTAATACAGATAAAAATGATTTGCATAATTTTGAAGTTAAAAAGATTATAAAACAAATAAAATTCTATGGCTAAAACAGTTTTAAATTAATAGTAATTTCAAAAATTTTTAACTTACATCCATTTTAAGATAATTTATGAAATTTCAAACATTTTCAAATTTTAAAGATAAAAATTTGGTTAATTTTGAATTCAAATTTGATATATAAATGAATTTTAAAATTATTGTATGTGTTACTAGAATAAATTGTCCATATATATGTACACATAAGCATATTTTATTCGATAACATTATATCTTGTAATTAGTTTTTTTAACTTGTACAATACATGAAATTTTTTATTAAATTTTTAGAATTTTAAATTTATTTTTAATTAACTTTAATTTTTTTATATTATATTAATAAAAAAATACAAATTCTTATTGATCTAATATATAATCATGTATTCATAAATGTTAAGTTACAATTAAATGAGAATCTGCACATAATATATTATAAATAGTACTGTTCATCTAAAATGAGTCTAAACTTTTGTAAATTGTCAAGAATTATAAAAATCTTTTCTTTTTCATAAAAAAAATTCTTCAATTTTTTGCTAAACACTAAAACTTTTGCTACCACTTCTTTTTTGTTTGATAAAAAATCAAGAATCAATCTTTAAATAGTTGTGATTAATTTGGTCATAACCATTTGCTTTCTATTATTTCTTATTTTTTATATACTTCAAGTACTGATTACACAAATATATTGGCCTAACAATTATTTCTATGTCAAGAAAATATAGTTATTTTTTTTAGATAAAAGGAAAACAATGATTCTTTATGTTATATTTAAAAAACATATCATTTTTTTAAAATATTATTTATTTTTAATTGTTTTTAATATAATTAATGGAATTTTTTTGTGGGTCAGATATGATAACGGTTATTATTCTTCACATATCATCTGTTATAGACAAAGAAAATTAATAATAAAAAAGTGTTGCAAAATGAAATGAAGAATATAAATTTATACATTAATTTGTCGAGATTAAAAATATACAATAATAAGAGCATATATGTTAATGAATTAATAGAGAATAGAAACATTAAATAAATGAATAAAACAGAAAAAAATGAAAAGTTAATTATAATCAATCAAAACAAAATTTTAAAAAAGACTAAAGAGAAACAAATAAATTAATCAAATATATAATATAAAAATATTTGAATTAGAACATAAATAAAACATTATATTTATTCTCAAAAATAAAAACATACTTTTATCTAACTTTTTTAACAACATTTAGATGTCTTATCTTTTATATAAAAATGCAAACTCTCATTCATCCATGCTTTCTAGTACATAATTCATTAACTTAGAATGAACCATCATATAAGTTCTAAATAAATCCTAATACCCA